TATATATATATATATATATATATATATATATATATATATATATATATTTCTGATAGCATATTTAGCAGAACAAAAAGTAAGTAAAGTGAGAATATAAAATAGTAACGTTTACATTGAAATAAATAGGAACTAGACATCATTTAACATCGACTTAGCACAGCCTTACTCAAACTTTATAAAAAAATTGTAACTCAAACAAAATGTATTTTTTTACATTTTGTGTCGATAATAATATAAAACTTTTTGAAATCAAACTTTAGTAAATATAAAATCTTTCTCCGTTAATGTTTTCGAAATTTACCAGAACATAAATAATTAACCTCGAACCACTCAACAAACCTGTATTATTGGAAATTAAAGAAAATTAATTGAAACATTGTAATTTTTTTGTTGACAAATTTTTTATTTTTAAATTAAACCTAAATTAAAAAATAAATAACCGACCAAACTTTTGAAAAAACATTACATTATTTTGGGGATTTTACTTGTATTCCACGAAATGTGCCGTGGGTGGGTAGTTTTATTACAATTGTGATTAACGTTTTATAAGTAAATATAAAGTACAATGTCTATTTTAAGATAATTTTATTATTAAGCTACTAACAAGAGCAGCTGAAGTTCTAATTTTATTAGTGTAAATAAGTTAGAATGCCTCTCATAGCATAGCAGCGGTACCTATTATAATAAATTTGATTTAGATCAGACAAATAACGAAGATTGGAGAACGCGTACAAAATGTCTTTTATAGGTCTCCTGCTGTAAATCGCAACCTTGGTGTAATAAAGCCACATCTGCAAAATGACAACTTTTCAGGAGAAAGGGTTAACACGTTCGTCACCGTGGTGGGGCAAAATGACCAGCATCTCATTTACCTATTGGGGCCGTTGGGGTTAAAATGACCGGCGCGACACACCTAATTTTGCGATGCTCGTTCACGCTGCAGGTGGTATACATTACGTATATAGCCATATAACATGACCAGTGCGGCCCTGACGAACTTATGTTGCTCCTTGGTTTTTAGCATTTTGAAGGCATTCCTATTTTTTGGACTTAAAGGACAAAAATATATATTTCGAATCAAAAAATTGATTTTAATTTAAAAATTACAAACTAATCAAACATTGTATTAATGTGAAATGTCAATCTCAAATGAAAGACGTATGTAAAGTACAGGAAAAATACTTATTTACAAGCTTCGCTCACAAAAGCCCTTCCGGCTTTATCTGCGGAGAAGAAGTTCAGTCTATTTAAGTAAAGATAATAAAAAATCTTAAGAAACTAACTTAATTACTTTTAGATAGCTACAAAAATATGCTTACTTACATGTGCATATAAATGTCATATAATAACAATTAAGCAATTTACAAAATAAAGTTTATATCTTCTGTTTTCAAAACATATTACTTAATATATGATTTATAGTGTTTGTTGTTTTGATAATTACATATAAATTCCTCACTCATTTTGTTTATTAATGCAGGTAACAAATATTTCCAATTTCTTTTTCCATAATAGTTATTGATATTAAACATCAATCGAACATTGCGTCTACGTTTTTTGCCCGGGTGGCGTTGTGAGCGGCGCGGACTAAACATATACAATTATTGCGTTTGGGTCGCGCCGCCGAGGGGTTGAAATGCCCGGCTATAAAAATAATCCCAAAATAAAGCCAAATATCGTGAAAAAACTTATATACATATTCAAATAAGACCAAAAACAGTCATATAAAGCCAATATCAATTATTTGAACATTTTGAAAATTCTTTATATGTATATATATATATTAGACACACGCTTGGCCACAATCTCACCTGATGTTAAGCGACGATATGACCGACGATGGGACGCGTTTGCCTAAAAAATGCCTATTCACTCCTAGCCTTGAATAGCCCCAAATTGTACTTTTCGGGAAACACAGATACCGGTAGAACATTCCATTCCTTTGGCGTACGCATCAGAAAGGAGGAAGCAAAGCGTTTAGTGCGAATAGGTGGAATATCAACGACATAAGAATTGAATGCTCCGTACCTTCTAGTCGACCGAAGGAGGTACGGTGAGGGTGGAACTAAATTGAAAAGTTCCTTCGCACACTCCCCGAAATGTATCCGATAGACAATTCTAGCCGGCGACTAAGGTGTTAAAGATTCTTTTTAGATTTGGATATTAGTCGATAACTTTTTTACGGTTTAATAGGAGTGTTATAAACTTTCACACACACCTAATTTGCTTCATGCAATTCGTAATATGTTTATAACTTTCATGTGATGTGGCTTTATTATAATACCAAGGATACGACATGTTGCCTAATCGTATCTTTGCAATAGTTGATACCTTGTGTATGGTCTGAAATATGTACAATATGAATTATCTCGATTAATTGTAATAATTTATATTTTTCAGTGATACCCGTGCAATATTCCCATTACTTTGCATTATATGTTTTTTACCATACGTACTGACAAAACATAACGGCATAACCAGTAGAGGCAAAATCCAGAAGTAGGTAATTAAACAAGTTGCTTAATTTTTAGCACTTAACTAACAAATCACAATTTAGTATATTTATTTATAGTATTATTAATAATATTTTGTTATTCTTTACTTGTTACCTGCTTATTACTTACAGTAATTTTAAGTTACAATAAAGTAATAAACCTTGTTAATTTATAATTATCGAACATGGCGGTGTTATGTTCTATAAGTGAACAAATTGTGAATCTCTTTTTTGAAACAATTACAAATTGCTTTGTGCGTGATGAACACGTGACAAAATGACTGTTACTATGAAGTGTGCATTGCCACACCATATTCAATTCTCACGGTTGCGTCGCATTGTTGTGGACGCACTTTAGTCTTCACTAGAGAACGAATACTTATAGGGTTTGTGCAACTTATTAAGAGTGTACACTCTTTTATAAAAATTATGATGCTTATGTATGAAAGCTCTGATACCTGGCTGATAATACCAGTAATGTCGATAAAATATTGTGATTACGTGACATTCCGCGAAATATACGGTCTCAGTATGTGCCTTATTTAAAGTGCCAATATGCTTAAGGGTTCCTTGAAAAAAAAAACACTAACAATTTTGTGCTATTAAATTTTGTTGTCTGACATGTGGTAGTTTATTTTCTTTATTTGTGTACTTGAAGAGTCCCAACGGCTATCTATGTTTATACTGTGCCACGTTGAAATCGATACCATTAAACAAAAAGTGATTTTTCGGGAAATTACATTTAAAAAAGTAAGATTTTTGCTTAGTGACGGTATCATTTTAAACGTGCAATATGTAAATATGTTTTGACAAATGATGTTGCTTTGATTTTGCAGTTTGTATTTTGATGCTATTGGTTTTGCAGTTCATAATATACGAGTAGCATGAGTAAAATATTTTTGATATTACGAACGCTGTACGATTTTAGGTGTTAAGACACCTAGTAAAATTAATAAAAATTTAGTTCCATTACAAGTGTCGCAAATGAAAATATTTTTCAGATTTAAATCGTATATATTTGTTTTTTCAATGAAACGAACGTTCAGTTTGATTTATTTATAACTTTAATTTATTTCTTATTTCCATTATTAAGCTATAATAAATTTAATTTAATTTTAAAATATCACATAATAAAGTATTTTGTAAAACCACGTGTAGCGTAAATTAAAATGTTTTTTTGGAAATATTTAAGTAATCACTTTTATAACTGTAAAAAATTTGGTTTACATTAATATTATAGATATGACTTTATCATCTCAATGAACCGTGACGGCAAGGGGCCCGAAACGTTGGTTTGTTTGAAAAAATAAATACATATACGCGATTTAGATCCGAAAAATATTTTCATTTCCTATGTATAACAATCGCGAAAACCTAAAAACTCGATCCATGCAAGTGATTCATGTATAATATCAAACAACCCTGCTAAATCTGGATGTACATTTATTCTACCGTCCACTTTAAATTGTTTTATATCTCTACTGAGTACTTAATAATAACACTTAAAAATTGACAATTGTAGGACAACCTCTGCTGATATAAATGGGTGTATCAGAATCTGATGGCACTTAGACAAATTGAAATTTGTAGTGGGCAACATCAATATAGTAGGAAAAAATGTACTAGATACTTCATATATTTTGTTTGACCAGAATTGATCTATCATCTTACATGTTTTATGACCTGTATGAATTTGTGTTTAAGAAATGTAAGTAATTTCTGATACATTTTAAAATTAAACAAAAGTACATCAATTACATTGGTGATACATTTATTTACGTTAGCATTTAAATTACCCTCATTTACGCCATTTTTTTCTTTACCAGTTATTGTCTACACACTGTAATCTTGCCGACCAGTAGGTACAGTAGTCTAGGTTCTATTCTTTGAGTAGAAATACTGGCTGAATGAATATAGATTTGTGTTTGGAATGTATTTAAAAAATAGAATAGAAAAAGGAAGAACATCTTGAGAGTTCTAGAAGAAGCTTCGATGAATCAATATGTAAAATACGTAATAAATATCTATTTATGAAGATAATCACAGTTTATATTTAAAAGTATCTCTCGCTACGCTACCTGAGCTACGTCCTATGCTATAAATGGTGGTTCGAAATGGTATACAATCGCCCTAAGTAAAAAATTCCGAAGTGGAAAATTTTTTATAGCTTGGCGACAAGGGCAAAGATATAAGACGATGTGAAGTTTATAAAGTATTTCCTAAAATTTTCCTCTTTAGCTCCCAAGTTTCAATGGGTGCTTGCAAGCATGTTGTTCAACGAACAAAACAAAAACGATTATGCAGATGGAGAATGTAATTAATCGAGAATCAAACTTAGAACAACAGAGTATCGAGTTGCCGGTGTGTATTTCGAAGGTATACTCTCACTTGGCAAGCACAAGGAGATCCCTAACCGGTTGGTGGACCCAT